TACCCTTGTCATTTGTGATTGTAATCTTGTTCTTCTGGCCGGTAGTCTTGTCCTCAGCAGAGACATTCAGGATACCGTTTGCATCAATATCAAAGCAAACAGTGATTTGAGGAACTCCCCTAGGTGCTGGAGGAATACCAGAGAGCTCGAACTTACCCAACAAGTTGTTGTCCCTAGTTCTGGCTCTCTCACCCTCGTAAACTTGAATCAACACACCCGGCTGGTTATCAGAGTAGGTCGAGAACACCTGCTCCTTCTTGGTGGGAATAGTGGTGTTCCTTGGAATCAAAACAGTCATAACACCACCAGCAGTTTCCAACCCAAGGGACAGAGGAGTAACATCCAAAAGCAATAAATCCTGAACCTTCTCATTTCCTTCACCACTCAAAATGGCAGCCTGGACGGCAGCACCGTATGCTACAGCCTCATCAGGGTTAATACTCTTGCAAAGCTCCTTGCCATTGAAAAAGTCCTGCAACAACTGCTGCACCTTAGGAATCCTAGTGGAGCCGCCAACAAGGACAGCATCATGGACACTGCTCTTATCCATCTTAGCATCCCTCAAACACTTCTCAACAGGCTCCATACACTTCCTAAAAAGATCCATGTTAAGCTCCTCAAACCTCGCACGAGTAATAGTTGAGTAAAAATCAATACCCTCATACAAAGAATCAATCTCAATTGTGGTTTGAGCAGTGGATGAAAGAGTCCTCTTAGCTCTCTCACAAGCAGTCCTCAACCTCCTCAAAGCTCTGGGGTTCCCACTAATATCCTTCTTATTTTTCCTCTTAAACTCTTGAACAAAATGGTTCACCATCCTATTATCAAAATCTTCACCACCCAAGTGAGTATCACCAGCGGTAGCCTTAACTTCGAAAATACCTTCTTCAATAGTAAGCAAAGAAACATCAAAAGTACCACCACCCAAATCAAAAATCAAAACGTTCTTTTCACCAACACTGGAAGCTTTCTTATCAAGACCATAAGCAATGGCAGCAGCAGTTGGCTCGTTAATGATTCTCATAACATTAAGCCCAGCAATGACTCCGGCATCCTTGGTGGCTTGCCTTTGGGAATCATTGAAATAAGCAGGCACTGTAACGACAGCGTTTTTTATGGTGGAGCCAAGGTAAGCCTCAGCAATTTCACGCATCTTGATTAAAACCATGGAAGAGATTTCCTCAGCAGCAAATTGTTTCTCTTCGCCTTTGTAATTGACTACAATCATGGGCTTATCACCAGGCCCAGCAATAACCTTAAAGGGCCAAAGTTTGATATCGCTTTGGACCGATGCGTCCGTAAATCTTCTCCCGATTAATCGTTTGGCATCTGTTTTATTATTAACAAAGCTTATAGTCAACAAACGATAAAGATAGAGTCAACTCTTTTAATAATCGCTGATCCTAAAATGACGTCATCAATAAAAAATAAAACCAGAAAAATAGATTTATACAGAGATCTAAGAACATACAACGTCGCAGATCTAAAGCAAACTATGTTCATTCCTTCAAAATAAAATAGAGAGGGAATCAGGGATTACCGAAGACGGTGTTGATGGGGTTCATGGCGACTTGGTTTTTAGCAGCGTCACCGATTAAACGCTCGGAATCGGTAAAGCCCACATAAGACGGAGTCGTACGGTTTCCTTGATCGTTGGCGATGATTTCGACTCTGTCGTGTTGCCATACTCCGACGCAGGAGTACGTCGTCCCTAGATCGATCCCGATCGCTGGTCCTTCTCCCTTTCCGGCCATCGATACGAATTACTTCGAAAACAGAGAAATGAACAAAATCGGCGGCTTAGAGATCAAAGAAAATGGTTTAGGGTTTTTTAGGTTTGACAGCGCTTTGCCTTTCGTTTAATGAGAAGAGAGTGGGAGGGAAGAGGGAGTTATATAGTAGAATACTGGTATGCGTTTTTGTGGTTAAGAGTTCTAGAAAGTTCGACAAAGGGAATTCTTAGCCGTCAGATTTGAACCTCCTGTTCCCACCTAAAATCTCTATCACCTGGTTGGTTCTGGACATTTCTTTTTTCTGTTATTTTTTCATTTTTTGATGAATTATTTATTACAGAATATTCTACTCCAATAAGCGCACTTTTTGAGGAACTTCGAATCCTCCGTTGGAGAATCTCTTCCCGCGCTTTCATTTTCATTTGTTTTATTTTTTAATAATAATTATATAAAGATAAAATATTTTTAAAATATATAAAATTTAAATTATCAATTATAATATTGAATGATTTAATTTATTTATAAATTAAATACATTTTATTTATATTTTATTTATTTGAATTTAGCAGTCTAGTACGCTGACGTGTCTACTTTACAAGTCACATACAGCTAGTTTGAGCCATCGTGGACGGTGGGCTGACCACACGGTGAGGATTCTTCTACGCTAAGACTAAAAACAATCATTTTATTTTATTTATTTTCTTTTGTTTTGGATTAATAAAAGTTGGAAAGAAATTTCAAACTCAAACAATTTTAATAAAATTGGATTTATGTTTCATGTCATTATCGAGGATCTACTATTTAATTATCAGCTAATAATAAGATTAAAATAAATTTATCACTATGATGTAAGTCAATAATTAAAATTTTCACCGTTGAATTTTGCATTTATAATTTAAATTTTGTTTGTTTTTCAGATATTAAGTAACAAAATGTTGATAATTTTTTATTTTCATTAATAGAATATTTGGTGAAATATTTTAATTTTTTAATTTTTACTTAAAAATCATTGAAATTGAAAATGCAATGACAAAATTTATCATTCACATTAAAAATATGTTCTGTGAATATTTGAAACTCATTATTTTTTTAATTAAAAAAATTAAAATTATAATAATTAATTATTATTAATCAAAATACTACTTATCATTTTATATTACATAATATTACATACTAATATATAATAGAAGACGGTGTAGCATATTATTATGATATGATAAAATTATCATACCGTGTTTTTTATTTTTAGTGTCAATATCACTTCAATATCACGAATAAATATTATTTTAATTATTAATTATAAAAATATATTTAATTTAAAATAAATTTATGAAACTTGATCAAAAATAATAAAAGAATAATTTATTTAAATTTTTTTAAAAAATTTAAAAAATTTTCACTTATTATGCTATTATTATTCAATTAATTATAAAGATTGTTTTGCGGTAGGAAAAAAGTAAGAAAAAGAAAGTCCAAAATACAAAGAAAAGGGCTAAACGAGAGGCTTTAACATCCCGAATTGGGCAGTCCAACTACATTCCAATTTCTGCTAATTCTTATACAATAGAGTAACTTCACCATAGTCAATCCTCAGCAATGAAAAATATTTAACTATTTTTGTCGATCATTTCGTTCTTCCACCTTGTTAGCTTCAAACTTTATACTTTGACGAGACGATGAAAAAGCCTTTGAATTGGCAAGAATACACAGTTCAAAGTTGCGATTTCACGTGGATCATAATTTGAGAGAAAATCATGATTAACTAGTGACAAACCCTTTTCTTCTTTGTGTTAGTAATTTCTTCATTTGTGCAAATTGATGTGGCCATTGATTGTTCATGGATGAACCTCTTTTTCAAAGGGTTGCTTTTGTTTATAACCAATCCCTTGTTTCTTTCTGATTCAACAATTTCTATGCTGTTTTCCTTCATCATGTCGAAGAAAATTTATGGTTTCTGCTATAGCATCAGCACCTTACTGCCACTGTAGTTTCCCTAACAATGGTAGCCAAAGGTTTCCAGGAGATTCCAATGACAGAATAAGCCAAAAGGGAGGGAAAGAATTGGGGAAAGAGAGAGAAGTTCTGATGGAAAAATGTTTGCTGGAAACATGGCAAGAGAAAGTTCATCTTGCCTGATATCTGAATAAAGTTTTTCCAAACCAATTAAGCATATTGACCCCCCATATTTAGACACCTAGGTGGGGAAAAAAGATCCACACAGAATTTCCAAAAAGTACTTAAAACAATATGCTGGGATTCTCTCTGATTATGTAGTAGGATTTAGCAGAGAGAAAAGGACAGTAATCACTGTGCTGAATTACCTATAATGAAGCCCTTCTACAAATTATAGGAAGCACTGAGAAATATTACAGATGCAAAACTTTTGATTAACCTCAACAACAGGAGAAAACAATATCACAGCTCCATCCTTTTTCTTTCCTTTCATGGCTTGGATGGTGGATGCCGGTTTCCGATTGGGTTTGGGGAAGATGGAACCTTACGCATGTTATCATTGAACTGTGTTTCAGGTTCCTTCTTTTCTCCACAAGGAAAGACAGAGGCATTCATGTCAGCCATTTTTCATCATAATCAAACAAAGGGTAAGACCACATTGTATTTAGCAATAAGCAAAACTCACCCAAGTAGATAACAAGAACCTGTTGCCAGAATTTGGTTTAGGTTTAGCAGTTCTGATCTTCGTATCCTCATCAACTGTAAAAAAGAGTTTCAAAAAAAAAAAGAGAAAAAAGCAATGTAATTTGTCGTCTTTTATCAAAGATTACAAGTTCTGAGATTGCCCGAAGTGATATATATATATATATATATATCAGGTAAGAAAAAGCTTGCCTGTTCCCATGGCTTGAATCCTTATGGCTATAGAAAACTGAGATTGAGAAGCTGTAACAAGGAAAAATGCAATGATCAGATAGGCTACAACTTGTATTCTCTTCATCTTTGGCGCCAACTCAATGTGCTTTCACCCTTGGTGCTGGTCTTAGTGAGCACATGAGGAAGAGGGACATATTTATGAAGGACAAATTGGCTACTTCATCATGACTTGGTTTGAAAACAAGGGCAACTTCTTGTAAAAGCTGTCTGGGAATCCAATGCTTTTTCACAGATTCGGATTAATAAGGCTAGAGATGTGGGATTTTCTTGGCGTTGCACGTTGACTTGAAGCTTGAGCTTTGATCATGGGCAACCATATCATTGGGCTATCAAATCTATGGTCCTCCCACTGTCTCTTCCAGCCTAAAGTTGATTGCAACAGCTGGGTGTTGGTATGGGAATGTTGTTGATTTTCTAATCATGTAATAGAAACGTCCAAAATCATTGCCTTTGCAACTTGAAGATGCAAATCCAAAGCACCTGATTTGTTGTTGGGTGAAAAACTGTTTGCAATAGCTCCTCAACTGTTCTGCCTTTCTATTTCTTTTCTCATCAAAACACGTTTTCTGCAGAGAAAATAATCTGTCAAGTTAGCTCTAAAAAATTGAAGATTGTACCACCCTCCCTTGAGCAGATTTCGAAGTGCTTTCATCTCAAACCTTTTTCCCTTTTAGCTTTTAATGGTTGCCTTGGGATGCACACTCTTCACATTCAATAATATATTTTCAATCTTTCTGAAGCCTGTTGAATTCACCTCATTCCTCATTAACGAAGGCATTTACCAGAGAGGTAATCCTGCCCCTTTTCTTCATTGGTTTAAAAGCTAAAAATGCATGTTTCTCAGCTAAACTGATCATTTGACATGTTGCCTGGTAGATTTTTCTTGTACTGCAACATGGTAATATCAGCATTTGTCAAGGTTTCTTTATGCTTTTGTTGCACATGATCAGTCTTGAATGCTGTTAAACTGTTCTTAACCTCTTGGAGAAGTTCTATATATCCTTGAATACATGGCCTGTCTCTCATTATCAAAAAGCTTTTGTTGCAGCTCTGTCAAGAACTATAGTGTGTTAGCAAAAGCTTGATGGGGTCTTCTACCACAATTATCATTGAGAAAAAGTTGTTAAAGAGTGGGACACCACTTGGCAACAAAGAAAAGAAAAGGACTCTTAAAACCAAGGGTCTATAATTATGCTGCATACCTTCCATTGACCTCTGAATGAGACAAGCTGTAATGATGCCTTTTAGCACTGTTAATAAGGATTTTCTGTCTGGAATTTTGTAGGTTTCATTAGGTAATTGATTACATTCTCATTCATATGGGGTGGGTTTTTTCCTTTATTATTTCAAATTAAAGCAGTAGGTTTGGCTTCTTTTGATCTTTCCCTGTTATGCTTGTGGCTTGTTCTGTGCTATAACCCTTTTTGGTCCTCCTTCGTTGAAGAAGAGTCAATTTTGGCACTTCCATAGGGTTTTTCCACAGCTGTTAAGATCCAATCATGTTAATTCAGAGATTTGCAAGTACTATTGGTTAAACTAAGTTATTTAGGGCGCGAGAGGTCCCAAGTTCAATTCTCCGAGTGCCCCAAATATTATACATTTAACTATGCTTTACTTTTAATAATAATCTATTATCAATAATAGAGAAATTAAATGAGTTAAAGGTGAGACAATAACAAATCTCTTTTGTTTTGTTTCATATGCTATTTGTGGCCATGTGAAGGGGAAAAACAATATGGCTTTAAACAAGGAATAAAGGTGACTCCTCCCCTCTAGACTCTACCAAAAGAAAATGATCATCACATCTAAAACCAAATCTTTTGTATCTTGGTGAGAATATTTTGCCTCTTACCATATGCTTCATGCTTAGGGTCCTATTGCCCTAGCTTAGGGCCATAGCTTTTCTCATTGTATGGCACATGTCCAAGATCCTTATAGGAAAAAAACAAATAGAGTTATTGGAACCCACAATTTTGAAGAGACTAGAGAACATATGAGCTAGATTTTTTTGCATGAAAGTTTGAAGTTTGATGATCTGAATTCTTCCCTTAATTGGTTTGAAAAAGAAAAATAGTAAATAATTAAAGATAAGTCACACTTATATTCATATTTTTCTCATAAATAATATGGGACTTTTAGTTGAAAGTCCCATTGATTTTTCATATGATATATTTCATTGAAATTCCTTTCATTAATTTAATTTTAACACTTGAATTCAAAGGGTTATTTTATTTTTAATATGTTTATAATTATTTTTATATCAATTATATTGAGGAAATTGTGAAAATTTGGCAACAAATTTTACCCTTTACCAATAGTGTTTAAATAAACATAAAAACGTATTACATAAGTCATTTTTTATTACATTCAATCAAACTTCTATATTTTTATTTTAAATTAAATGAGTTCTCATAACTAATAATTAATTAATTATAATTAATCAAATTTGTCATTTTTCATTTTATGTCACATAATATGCTAACATGTTATAATAGATAGTGATATAACATTATTTTATATAACATGTCATATGTGTATAAAAAATTATAAATAACATTTTGATTAATAATTGTTAATAAACCGTTAATCATAAAAACTTATTTTATCTAAAATAAAAATAAAAATATTTAATTTACCATAATAAAAAATAAAAATTTATTTAAATTTATTAAATAGTTATGCGTAGAAGTACCATACTTCTTCTAATGAAAAAAATATATAAAAAGAAGGATCTTATTAATAATTAATTGATATCTTCCATGCTTAATTATTAATTATTGATATCAAAAAAACATATTACCTCTTTTTTTTTCTTTTTTATAATATCCCTCTAACTTTTTAATCTCGTTTAAAAACAAATAAAAATTAAAAAAAATCGAATAAAATTTTAAAGAATATCGGCAAAAGATTGTACAACAATTACAATCTGGCACAGGAAGTCTTTAATGGCACAGGAAGTCTGGTGAAGGCAAGGTCATTGTACAATTACAAAAGATTCACTGCACAAAGGATGTCGGCAGCAAAGGAACCTAAGGAAGGATCCAATCGCACAACAGACCAAAAGCTTTTCCGAAATCCTGAAGAGGGAGCAGAAACCATAACAGTTTCAGCCATCCTACTCTCAAAAAGCAGCAGCACTTGACACCAATGGAAAGTGCACGTCAAAGAAGAACCCGGCAAACAAAGACACGAATCAAACTCAGAAAATCCAGCTCCCCTCCATTAGCGAGCCCACAAAAACCTCCACCACAAAGATCCTCAACAGTTGTGCTCGTCGCTCAACCAATGCCAACCCCAAAATAATGTCCAAGACAGCCGAGCCTTACCCTCAAAGCCCAGCTTTGATTCTATCAAATTTGATCACTCCTCAAAGAAGCAAGAGAGGAACAGCCAACACAGATTCCCTGTAAAAATCCAGGTTTTTACTCACTTATCCTGGAAAGTACGCTACCCTTCTGATCCTGAAAATTCCCACTTTTCAATTGTAAGGTCATAACCCTTTCTTCATGTACTGTTAGAGTTTAATTAGAATTCCTTGCTGTTATTGTATTTATCATGGTGGGTTGTTTTTACTGTTATTGCATTGACTAGAGTTGCATTTCTGTGGGGATCTTGTGCTCTTCAAATTCTAATGGTTTCCCGTACAATTCCTCCATGAACCTTAATTGGTCTTATAAGTGATTTTCCTGACGTTGCTGTAGCTTGCTTCTTGACGGTGCTGGATTTGCATGGACTGTCATTAGATGTCAGACTAGCAACCGTTAATTAATTAATTAATTAATTAAACTTAAAGCAAGCTCGCCATATGGTGAAGGCATGAGCATCTGCGATTTCTGCAACAAAAGCTGTGAGAAGTTTGTTTATCGTTGTTCTTGTAATTTAGACCTCCACATCAAGTGTGCTTTGTTTCAATATAACATTGCTGAGAAAAATATTAGAGAGCTTCAACATATTGCACATAAGGAGCCATTGCTCTCCACTGAAAATCATACTGAAGAACTCAAAGAAGCCAAGTTCTTTGTATGTTGGATGCCGTTATTCGATGATGTATACTTTTCTCTTGATTGTGGATTTTGTCTGCATAAGAAATATGTTGAGCTATTTTTTGAAATCAAGCATCTTTGCCATGGCCAACGTTCCTTTTTTTACAATTTAGTATCTATTTGGTCTTTTTTTTCTAGTTTAAAAACTATTATGAAACTGTTATGAAAAATAATAATTTTTAAAATTAAGTTAAATCTGTTTGGTAAATTTACTTTTATAAGTTTTTTTTTATAAATAAGTTGTTTGATAAAATAATTTACATAAGTTTTAATTTTGATTAATTACCATAAATGGTATTTAATAAATAATTTTCTATTAATCCCAAATTCTTTTGTTCATAATGGAAAAAAGTTAATTTTAGTTTTTTATTTATAAAAAGTATAAAAAGTATTTTTATATAACATAAAATTTATAATTAATAATAAATCATATAAAAATAAAAACAGATAATGTTGAAATTATTTTTAATAAATAAGGATATTTTTGAAACAACAAGAAAAACTTTCCTAAAAAAGAAGCTTGTTTTTAAAAAAAAAGGAGAGAAAGCTCCTCCCAAGAGCTTTTTCTAAAGCTCTTTTTTTCAAAATTTTATTCTTTAAAAGAAAGTTATTTATTTTTGTAAGAGTTTTTTCAAATTTTTGTTTGATCTGATTTTTGTTTTTGAAAAATAGATAAACTGAAAAAAATCAAACCCAACAAGCACTTAATAGTAATCATCTTCGTTGTAAGATACGTCACCATCACCTCTTATTGTACATGGACGTTGTCATGAACACCCATTCTTTAGGTATTTAAGACAATCCTCTTTCATATGTGATGCATGTGGCATGTCAAGAAATTATGTTTCTTATATTTGCTCAACATGTAGCATTGGCGTCCACAAAAAGTGCATTTCATTAACGAGCATCATCAAAAGCGCGTGGCATTACCATCTTATTTTTCACAACTATTTTGTAGTAAACAACGAATATAGAATATTGAAATGTGGAATATATCATGATCCGTAATTTATAAGCTTATTTAAGTTTTATTTTTAAATTTTAAAATT